ACATGCCCTCAACTCACGGCCTTACCTCCTCTGTCTTACTTTCACAAATGAAGCTGCAAGTAGAAGCTGTCTGGCATAGATTGATTGGGCTAGCCAGTCAGCACCGGCACACCAGTTGCATCCAGCCACGGAGGCGCTATGCTATGCCTCTACGCAAGTGCCACGCGAACTACGCCCTTTCTGGTACCTAGACGTACGCTTTCTTCTACGATTTATCAAACCCTTAGGACGGAGTACTACCTAATTACCTACACAGCACTCTCGACCTGGCACCAGGACAAAGCCATCCCTGATCTCTGGTGTCGCAGCAAGCGCGCGAGAGAGAGAGAGAGACAAAGAGGGGGAGCTGGAGGCGTCGCGGGAGGCGCTCATCGAAAGGCCTAACATGGCGAAAAGCCTAGTTTATGCCATGGCCGATCACAACCCAAAAATCAGCTGTTGGATTCAGGTGTGGTTCTGCAGCTGTGTGCGCATCACGGCAAAGACCAACAGAATCACTGCAAGCATTGTTGTTCCACAATTGCTGACATTCTTTGGACATTTCTGGGCAAGCCTGCAAGCAGTGAAGCAAGCGTCGAACAATTTTCAATTGCGGGTGATCCACCCCTCAACTTGTCATTTGTGGAGTCTAAATATGTCTAAATACAACTGTTACTTTTGTTGCTGGTTTTGTGTCAGTTGCTAGCCACACTACCAGCTGGACCACTCAAGTTAGCTACCTTAAGGGTAGGCATCTTCGATGCATTTCCAGAAGCATGCGTTTCTTATGCCCTGTTTGGCTGCATTTGACGGCCTAAGATTTTAGGAGACGTGGAGACATCGATATCAACGGCCAAGCAACAACCTTGCAAAATGACTGATGTGCCAAGCAACAACTGCAAATTAATGTTCCTGTTGGAGCTCATGCACCCAACTATCCCAACTCCCGAATGTTATGAAACACAGCTGTCCTGCATGGAGCCGTCAGCCAACCAAAATATGTCCTTAAGACCATACTTCGCGACCGGCTCATCTCAAAGCGTCATGCCCACTAAGTATCACAAAGCAAGGGAATAAATTCAAGCAAGCAAGAAATTCAATGCAAATTCCAAAGCTGTGTTAAGCTGTGTGACTGAATTCGGGATGATGCCATGCGGCCCTTTCCTTGGAGTGTATGGGCTGACAGGCTGCTACGAACAACATTGAGCAGTTCGGCTTCTTCCGATCGCTTGTGCCGTTCTGGCTGCGTCTGTAATCTGCAATGGAGAAAACTTAACTTGGAGAAAGCGAAAACTGAAAAAAAAGAAAAAACGCTGGAACTGAGTTGATTCGACGACTAAAAGGCCAAAGGTGCTTCCCAGAATAAGGAACACAGTTCACCTCCAAGTGATCGTAAGGTGCTTCAGTCGCGAAGTGGTCAACCGTGATTGGCATTGCGGCAGAGGTGTCCACTGCAATCCTCTGCAAAGATTGCGCTGCTTTTGCAATGTTTGTGCAGAAATGGACTCTTAGGTATGGAGGACATCGGTCTTAGGTTGGAGGCCATCGCTAGTAGTAGGTCTTCTGCCTGCATTTCTCCCTGCCGCCGTACTGGTCTGGGTACCCTGGACTTCGCACACAGCCATCCTCAGTCAGTGGGGCGAACGAACTCTCTAAGTGAAATAGCAAGCATAAAGAGCTCTTTGCTTTATATGCTCCTAGTAGCTTCTTGTTACTAGTAAGGCCAGGAGCCCCTAATAGCGTCCTTGCTCCTAGTAGCGATGCACTTGTTACTAGTAGTAAGGTCAGGAGCCCTTTGCGATCCATCTCGCCTCATCAATGCTGCATCGACCCGAAACTACTGCCCACATGTGGCCTCAAAAGCTTCAAAGCTTCAACCCCCGACGCTCAAAACCACGCAGCTAAAGTGACAAAAAAGTCTTTATATATATATATATGTGTGTGTGTGTGTGAGCAATGTGGAAGACAAACTCTTCAAGAAAGACTGGTGAAGGAAATAGCATTCTGCCAGATTGCCATGGAAGTTTACCTCTGATGAGCTCGGCTCCTCTGGCATTGCAATCTTGCCAGACAGCACAGCTTCGATCCATTCCTCAGAATGAGCAGCTGAGCAGCCCTACCAATCATACACTCTTGGGAGCACAACATGTCATTTCTCATTTCGTCCTGCTCCCCAGAGGTCGTTGGTGCGTTTACATCTCAGTCATCGTAACGTGCACATGGGGATCCGTGGTCACGTGTCACAAACAGGCACACATCAAACGCAGAATCTAGGAACCGTATCAACATGTTTCGACCAGAACGAAGAAAAAGGAAAAACACTGAGTCGATTAAATGAACCAACTAACCATAATTCACCATTTAGTTTCGACATGTTTCGACCCTTCCGTTTTCCGTTTTTATCGGAAGCAGCTTGCTTGAAGAACCCGAACCCATCTGCGTCGCAGCCGGTGGACGTCAGAACGAGTTCGCCAAGTTCAGAAAAGACTTGCTACAAATTACTTTATATATACGGATATTTTGGATGTCTTTTGGATGTCTCATATCGGTGGGCCATGGCCCTCTTCGCAAAAAGCGGTGGCAGGACCCACTCACATGGCAAGTCTCCAGCCCAGAAGCCACCCGAGCGTAAACACCTGGATAGTTGGCGTCACCACAGCCATGGCCCCAGCTGATCACCTAGCAGCCGGCAATGCTCTTTCAACCACATAGCCGGAACTATTTTCAGCAAAGTGGCACCAGCAATGACAAAGCGCTCGCCCTCCAGGCAAACCTTGGGCGTGTGCAGTGTTCAAAACCGGCAAAACAGGCAGCTTTCCAAAACCCAGCTGAGACACGAGTGGGCCTCCGCTATCTCCTTGACAGGCATCCGTGACTCCCTGGCCAGTTGCACCAGTTGCGCATAGCATGCCACTGGTGATCGTCTGGTTGTCTTTGGCGTACTGCTCTGCACCTCAACATTCTGTCATGCTATGCTCACTCTTAAATTCTTAAGTACGGAAGCGGGAAAACCAGAGACTGCTGTGTGAGGCTATTTGCAGCTCTGGCACAAATGTCTTGGCTGACTGTGTTCACCAATCCCTGCTGCAAAACATTTGGAACTGCACCTTCCATGTTTAGAGTGCCCCAGCCAGTAACTTCACAATTGGTGCCAACAGTAGGAAAATCTTTCGTTGGCAAGCACACGGATCCGACGCAGTCGTCGAATGGAACCGGGGCGTCGAGCTCCAAAAGCCCAAAGTCCATGCTGAAGTGGGATTCGACGTTAAAGGATGGGTGGATCAGGACTCGGCGCACTCCTCGCGTTACAATGCCACCATCTGTGTTGTTCTCCATTTTCTGATGCCACCCCCCTGCAACGACCTGCATCTTCGACATTTTGCAGTCGTTCAGAAATGCAGTGCAATGGGCAGCAGTAAGGATCCACTTTTCAGAAATCAGGGTGCCACCGCAAAAGTGTTGCGCAGTACCGTTGATCATTGCACGCAAGCTAACCTGCCACTTCCATGCACATTGCTTGGAATCTTGGCCATGTACGATTCGATTCTGGCGCTTTGTGCTGTGCCACCCCACACGTCCTCGTGTCTGAGCAAGAAGAGGTGAAAGGCTTTTGATCGAGTTGAAAAAATGCCCAACAAGTGTGAAACGAGTTAGAGTGAGTTGAATTGCCTCAAACTGCGCTCTACAGACTTGTAGATATACCTTTATTTGAGCAAACATGATCATAGTTGACATGTTGATTCTAGCAGAATGCTACGCACCTCTGCGGTAGTGTAGCTCGATGTCGAAACTTAGCCATGGGATGCCAAGTTTCCACATGTAGCATCAACGCCATCTTGTTCTCTAGGCTTGTCAGCTTTCTGGCCACGTAGGCCAGGACTGCTCCCACTGCACACAGGAAGATTGAGGAGCAGCAAAAGGCTGCAAAAACTATGGCAAACTCGGCCGATCATTGCTACCGAGCTTCCAACAAGTGTGTGTAGAGCGCCCGCTTGAACCAAATGCATCCAAAAAGGAACATTATGGAAAATTGCATACTGCAGTCTATTCGTGAAAACAGGATGAAAAGTAAATTACCATGCCTTTCTGAAGGTTTTCATGAAAAGTTCTAAAGCCGTCCAGTTCCTGCTGCAAGTCTCACAGAGCAGCCATAGCGGCAACACTTTTTCGTCACAAGGAGTAGCGGAGTAGCGTCTGCTGGGCCCCATCTCGCATGGAATTCAAAACTGGCTAAGACTTCGGCAAGAAACGAGGGAGGGTTCTCGTGCAGAAAGCTGACACAATGACAATGACGCCAAGGGTTCGCAATGACATCTCCCAATTCTCGTGGCATAATTGTTCACGCAAATGGCCCATCCAGGATCCTTGTTGCACTGCCACGCCATCCTTGCAAAGTGAAGAGAGCCCCATGTAAGCAAAGCACAACAGTGTCATCAGAAGATATGGCAATGTTGTCAGCAACCTCGTAAAATCCAGCGATGAGAGCAGCCCGGTGTTGAGCTGTTCATGTTGAAAGCCAACAAGCCGCATGCCACCGACCTCTATGCAAAAGTGATTGCGAGAGTTTGTGGCCACTTCGACAACGAATTTTGATCCTGTGAGTACGTGCCATATCGTGCCAAATTTTGCTGTGAGTCGCTTTCGCACTGCTGTGGCTACCACTTGTTCATCCTTCAGGTCCTTCCCTAAAGTAGGAAGCTCTTCACGAACAGCATCAATGATCTCCGACACCTCCTCACTCTGAAAAATAACCTTTGCTTTCAAGGGTTTTGACTTTGGAGCTTCCACCTTCTCAGTCACATTGTCTGCGTCAGTTTCTGGAGCCGGCTCGATCCCAGGAGATTTCCAAATGAGCACGACACAGCCATCCCCAAACTTCCAAACACCCATGGCCTTCTGACGAACTTTGCATGCATAGCCCATAGCATTGCCAATCGCAACATGCCAATCCGCCCCCAAATGTTGATCCAATTTAGTCTTCAAAATCTTGGCAAATATTGTCCACTTCTCTTCTTCTGTCAAGGATTTGTCCTTATTGAATTTCACATGAAGGTTGTAATATGTATTGACAGCATCTTGAACGCGCTTCCGATCTCTGGGCTGCAAATCTTGTTTCAAGAGTCTCGCCTCTATTGCTTCAGGCATGGCTCACCAAAGCTGAACGACACCAAACGTACTCTATTCATCTCTATTCTATTAGAATATATTAGAACCATGTTGGCTTGCAAACAAAATCCACAATGAGTGGTCTTGCAGCGAAGGAGGGGTGGACAAGTTGGTCTGGACATGCAGTGGTCCAAAATATGTCGCTGAAGGTCATGAGGTAGGAAAGGTCATGAAAGGTCAAAGTGTCAAAGGAAAGCTTGCTGTGGAAACGTGCACAGATCACATGCACCAGTGTTTGCCACTACATGTTGTGCACCTGTTTGCATCTTCATGCGTCTATTCTCGTCTCTGCGTTTGCTGGCTGCCGTTCAAGATGAGGCCAAAAGGAAAAACTGCGGTCACTGGCAACGATTGCAATTACTGCAAACTGCACCAATTGCCGAAAAAACTGAGGCAAAATCTTTTGTATCCAATGCGTGTTTATGCTCTTACAGGTCCTGGCATCAAAGCCTACTTTAGAAACTAAAACATAAATTGCCTCCGGCATCCTTCTGCCTAGGCGGTGGCTACTTCAAATGTGTTTCCCTCACCCGGAGGATCATGTCTCGTATTCCACATGCGTGGTCGTCTGCGTGGCCCGAGTCACCTGCGAAGTCTGCAGGGGTTCTTCCCTTGCTGTCAATCGATATGGTGCTAGCACCAGCGTCCAGTAGCAATTGAACGGCCTGAGGCAAACAAACACAAGGCTTAGCCGACCTCAAAACAGCTGTACTGTCAGACTTTGCATTCAAGTGTCTTGAGAGTGCTGGTAGAAGGCAGCGAAGTGCAAAGGAGACTGCAGCTTGTCATTTGGGTCGTCCAATTTGATTCCCACTTTTGCAGCAAGCCTGTTGGAATGAGGAAAGCAGCTAAGGCTAAGCTGTCCATGTCTTCTTTGATTGTGTGGACATCTGTACGTTGATGTCGAAATAAGAAGTCAACGTGCTCATGTTTGATGCATCTTGATGCGCCAGGCAGCAAGCTTCGAAGTATCGGCTCATGTCCATGGCGAGATGCCCGGGAGATGGCAGAGTTCCCGGCATATCCTGTAAGTGATCGGGCGCTCAATGTCAAACACAAAGAAGCTGCCATTCGCTCGCAATATGGATGCCCTCGAATAGCTTGTTGTTACTACTAGTAAGGCCCTTGCCCCTAGTAGGGATGCACTTGTTCCTAGTAGCGTCTTTCTTTGTCCGACTCTGTCCTGTTCTTTTGTGTTTCTAATTAATTATTGTTTCCAATAGCTTCTTGTTACTACTAGTAAGGCACTTGTTACTAGAAGCGATGCACGTGTTCCTAGTAGCTTATAGTTTCTATTCTAATTAAACTTAATGCTGAAAAAAAACATGTTGAACGGTCCGACCTTTGGCATTTGCGTCCACCCCAGCAGCTAGAAGCATTTCCACCACTGCGACACTCCCAGACTCAGCTGCCCATATGAGCCTCAGCTGAGGCAGTGCCAGTCACTGATGCAAAGTAATGGAGAAGGAGTTCAACCAGGGACATCTATTGGCCATCGAGTTACGGAGTATTGCCAAATTCATCTGAAGCCTCAAGGTCCTGCAACTTCAGCAAATCAAAACCTGCTGATTGTCACACCTTTGCTCAAAACAATTCCAAGAAAAATGTCTGGGCAATAGCGAGAACACAGTTGCTTGCAATGCTTGACCTTCAACTCCATGTGCTGCAATGTGGGCACATCGCCCGATGAGGCTGCACGGCAAGCTGCACTGATTGGAATTGGAGGGCGTCTCCGAGGACCTCAGCGGGGGGCGTCCCCCCCAGCTATGCTGACCAGTGACACTCCAGCAATGCTCTTTACCTTGTTTATACTTTTCTTTGTTGTTATGGACGACCTGTTGCCACCGTGGAAGCGGTTGGAATTTGCCAAAACCTACCAAGTGCACAGCGCCTTTGGCTTCCTTGCTCCTAGTAGCGTCCTTGCTACTAGTAGCAATGCCCTTTGTTACTAGTAGCTTCTTGCTCCTAGTAGTATTGCCTTTGGAGAATTTCCCCCAACAGATTTGAACGGGAGGGCGTTATCGATGGCATTCCAACGGTTGCGAGCATGAAAGCAACGTCACGGACCCCTGGAGTTGGCGCCAGATCCGAGAAAGTGCGTCCCGAAGAGCACCAACGTACTTTCCAGCACCCACGATGCCAACACGACACGAGACACGACAACACCACCCTTCCAGAGCGGCTACTGTTGCCCAAACGGTTCCCAACGGTTCCCGATCTGCCTTCAGCCGAGGGGTTGACGTCGAAATGTTGCCACAGAATGCGTGGAAGCTCCACGAGGCTCTGCACGACAAAGTCTGCACCTGAACATCGACCAAACTTGCTAGACCTTGTGAACGGCCAGGGGCCACCCCTGCCGGGGCCTCTAAATTTTGAAATATGTTTCGAACACCTCGTATTGGCCATTACATGCCATTATACACTCATTGCTTCGCACCTGTTTGCTCTTCAAAATGTCTGCGGTCTGCATCTACGAGTGCTGTTGACACGCCAGCCGCCTTGCCAAAGGCGATATCCTTGGCACTGGAAATAGAATTCCCACATGCAACGTGCGAGCGCACGCAGAGAGTATGCAGCCCAGATGCATTGGACGGCGAGTCGCCAACCATAAGCAGCCCCTGCCCAAGGGCGACATCCCATTCCCAGGCAATCATCTCCTGTGTGTGATGGCTATGGCCATGCGCAGTGCCTTTAATGGCCTCCAACCTAATAGCTTCCAACCTAGAAGCAATGGCCTCCAACCTAATAGCGATGGCCTCCACCCACCAATTCAAAGAGAGCAATTGCCAAAAAAAAAAGAATTACTGTTTGCTGTGTCCAGGGGCTAGGGCAGCAGGATGCGGCTTTGGTGGTACAAATTCTCGCGCAACTGAAGGCCAAAATTTTGGCAAGTTGTATGGGCACCACAGTTTTTCATGCAAATGCTGCACTGTTGCTTGCGTGTTGCCTCCACGGCACACAACACAGACTGGGGGAGGGCTAAGATCGAAAGTGAAAAACACTCAAAAAACATATTCCAACGACTTCCCGGCCAAAGCACGAGTGACAATCGCTGTGGGCACATTCCACCAATGCAACCATTTGCCAAGTTCAACAGCACCCTGGGCCAATTGCAATGTGCGACGTCCCTCCTCTTCCATCTCCTGAAAAAATTGCGAAATAAAATCATACAAAATCGGACTTGCGCGAGCTCCATGTTGTTTGCATTCGCACGATGTCCTCAATGACATTTTCTGCATGATGCCTTTGAGCACCGTCCATCGCAGCCACAGCTTGCAGTAGATCCTCGCCAGCTGGAACTCCGCAGCGGTCATGCATAGCTCGAAAATCCAAATTTTGCACCTTGACGTTCCAAAAGCAGAAAAAGGGTATTGAGTTGAAAGCCCTGTTTGACTTCGGAATCGCCAAGTGGCGGTGAGGGTCCCATCCAAGTCAAAAACCACTCCTCGCAGTGGAGGCTTTACTTGCTGCACCATCTTCCGCAAAGTTTTGAAGGACATTGCTGCCCGTACTATGTTTATCCATGTTGCACTGCATCATGCCCCTGTTCCTAGCATGTTCATCTTCATGTTTGGTTAAGGGTAATGTTATGTGTTGACTTCGCATTGTGTGTTGTTTGTTAGGGGCTGCGCTCACCAGAATCGTGATTGGTTCCATGATGAAGCTCAAGCGCTAAGTTCCCCAAGAAAAAACTGACGAACATAAAGTGCCACCAAAGCCGGCGACAACACAATTGCCCAACTTGCGTCGGTGACACATTGCGTCTTGTCAAAGGCGTTTTAGCTGCCACTGTATGAAATCCTTTGAACATATATCCTCGTCGAAAACCTTTACAACCATAACTGGGTTTTGCTAGCTGTGGTTTTGGATGGTTTTGGCTGTGGCATTGTTGCTGCTGCATGCCCATAACATTGACGCGCTAAAGCCCATGCCAGCGGGGAGATAAAACTTAAGGGATAAAAAAAACATGCTTGATTGATTCACATGACTGCCATCTGCGCACAAGGGCAAGTCCCACTAACAATCTTGAACGACCACACGGGAGTGGACAGTACGTTCCATATCTGCAACTGATATTTTGCCAGGTTGTCCTACAAGAGTGGGCGCTCCTACGCCCTCGTCAGCCTCAACTCACCGCTCATGACTCCATTGGCCGCGCGGTGGCCAACCAACCACTACCCGACATACAAAGGCGTAAAAGTGTTCATCGCCGCCATGGCTGCCATAGGGCCACTCCTACTCCTCCTCCCACTACTACTACCACTACTATCACTACCACTACCACTACCACTACCACTACCACTACTACTACTACTACTACTTCTACTACTAGTACTAGTACTAGTACTACTGCTACTACTACTACTACTACTACAATAACTACTACTACTACTACTACTACTACTACTACTACTACTACTTCCACTACCACTACCACTACCACTACCACTACGACTACCATACTACCACGGCTACTACCACCCCTACAACCACCACTACAACCACCACTACTACCACCACTACCACCACCACTACCACCACCACCACCACTACTACTACTACCACCACCACCACTACTACTACTACCACCACTACTACCACCACTACCACTACCCCTACCACTAC